TACCTAATAAACTGAGAAACTGGTAATGGATGAGTAGATGAGCTGAATTGGAATCCAAGTCTCTATGTCTAAACATTAAGCACTTCTACACTACTCTGCTACTCCTAACTGGTCTTCCTGCCTCCCGCCTGGCACCTTTCTCCAAGAAATATTCCACAGTTCTGTGGTTCTTTCTGAAACACAAATCTAGTCAGGTAACATTTCCATTTTTAGTCTCTTCAATGAGTTACTCTGATTTCCAGAAAGAAGTACAAACTCTAATGTGGCACATAAAAGTGTACTACGATCTAGACCCAGTCTCTTTTCTAGCAGGTACACCATATATACATACAGGGACTTCCAAAAGTTTATGAAAAATGGAATTAAAAGATAGCTTTATTTTGGTAGAAAGCATTTTGAAATCCATGCATTTTTTTCATAATCTATATTTTACATGAATTTTTTGAATATCCCTCATACCTTTTATTTCAGCCCCAAACACATCTACCTGATCTTTTTTTTTTTTTTGAAAATTTTAATTATTTTATTTGAGAGTTAGACTTACAGACAGTGAGAGGGACAGACAGAAAGGTCTTCCTTCCTCTGGTTTACTCCCCAAATGGCCACAATGGCCGGAACTGTGCTGATCCAAAGCTAGGAGCCAGGTGCCTCTTCCCGGTCTCCCATGAGGATGCAGAGGCCCAAGGACTTGGGCCATCTTCTACTGCTTTCCCAGGCCATAGCAGAGAGCTGGACTGGAAGTGGAACAGCCGGGACTAGATGGGATGCCAGCGCCACAGGCGAAGGATTAACCTACTGTGCCACAGCGCAGGGCCCATCTACCTGATCTTAATTAGGCATGATCCCATATCTATCTACCTTTGTATACAAATGTGTTTTCCTCCCCTCCAATTAAAGCCCTATTCTTCAAGTTTCAGTTCCAATGTCAACAACTATGATAAGCCTTTCCTTACCATGCTCAAGCATCCAAGTCAATTTCAATGCCTATGATTTAATAGATCCCTCTTCTGAATATTCCTGCAGTAAACTATCACATTGTTTTTAATCATTAATTAACTTCTCTGTCTCACTAGACTATGAGCATCTTTATATCTCCAATCCTTGGAATAGTGGCTACACATAGTAAGTTGTCAGTAAAAGTGTGATGCATAAGTGCAGTAACTTCCCATGTTTTATTCAAAATAAAGACATTTATTATGTTATAAAAAAATTACCAAACAGGAATTAATATCATAACCAGAAAATTAACTTGTGTCAAGTTACTAATTTGACTCTACTCTAAAAATCTAAAGGCTTTAGATATTATACACAAATATAAATTACAAAAGCAAAAACATCAAATGTTATCAAGCCACTCTATACCATCGTGTGTGTGTGTGTGTGTGTGTGTGTGTGTCGTAGTGTTAGTTTTACCTTAACACTGATCTCTCTTAACGGTTAAGTCACTGTCTTAAATATGTGGAATTGAGTATGTACCTCCTTCATAACACTTCTGTGGCTCTAACACTCGATTTTACAAAATACACTCCTTAGTTGACATAAAATTACTAATTACACTAAGATCCATGCTGTATGATGGCATGCTACAATCTGATCCTAACCAGTTACATAAAATCCTAAACTCTACTATCAATGCATTATTCAAAATGTATTGAGTCCAGAACACGACTGCCTCCCTTAAAAACAATAAAAATAAAGGCTCATTATAAAGTTGTTTATATG